CCAGTCTCCACCCCAGACCAATTAAATCAGATTACCTGGAGGTTGAATCAGAACACTGGAATGCTGTCAAACCCCCCCAACCCCAACTCCATCCCGTGATTCCAATTTGCGGCCAAGACAGAACCACCACTGTATATAACAGACTATTCTATAAGTATCTACATACATTTAAGGCACTGTTATTATGTAGTTGTTACTATGTCGGTATCTGGTTTTTTCAAAGAGATTGCATCCTTTCTGATAACAGAGGTTGTGTGTTCAATGCTCTGCAAAAGAAGGATAATGATGCTGCTAATTATGCAGTTGGTAACACTAGCCAAGTGCTTCTGTGTCATTACCGTAATCACCACTAGTCTACAAACCGCGATGGTGAGATGCAAAACCAAGATGCAGCACCACACAGGCAAAGGATGTGGCATATGGGACTCAGGCCCCATATGCCTCAAGCCCCAGTCTCACGCTCAGACAAGAGTAGCATTCAAACACTTAACAAACACATCTCTCTATTGCAATGCAGCAGCTGGTACATACTTTTCACTCATACTGCAGTTATTTGTGTATACGCCTTCTCTCCTGTGCTAGATTGCAATTTCCTAGATGCAGGACACCAGGCTCTTTCCCCTTTGTCCTCTTAGGGCCCTGCCCAGCGCCTGGCAGACAGTGGACCATGGACCCTCAATTAATATTTGTTGACCAAATGAATTAGCCACAGTCTGTGGGCCAAGGAAAGATACTGTGACCTTTTATTCCTTACAAACACCTTTATTCCAACCAGGGAGAAAGAGACACTGTTTTCTGCAGCTTCCTTGCCCACTGGTCCACAGCTAGAAAACTTAAAGAGGGAAACAGCAGAAGCGCTGCTGCGAGGGCTCAGCCATTTGAATTGCTGGATCCCTGAGGAGTTCATTTAAGATAGTGTAATAACATCTGCTCACGCTTCATCTGTACATAACATCTCTATTGTGAAATGAGACCAGACGGGATTAGACTGCCCTTGTTTTCACCTGATACTGTGCTTTCATTTCTCCCAAAGGGGGAGAGGAGGCAGCAATGCTGAAGTATTTAGCAGGCTCAGTTCAGGAATCTAAATTGCACTTAATTGTTAGGAACAAAATGTTGGAAGGGTAGAAAGCAGGCTGCTGGTTCCACAAGGACTCCCTGAGGGGGACACAGTAATTAGTGCTGGTCTTGATTGTGAGGTCTCTTTTCAGAAAGAAAAATCTCTGCAAAATTGAACAGGGAGGTGCTCCACATGAATGCTCCACTCTGCCGAAATGCAAAACCACAGGGACCTCTCGGATAGGTTCTCCCGGCTAAAGGTCGCCTGGCAAAATGGTTACACACGCAAAAGTGCAAAGCTGCATCAGCACAATCCCTGCTATGTTTTCCATTCAGGAAATATTCAGCTCCACCGTAGTAAAAGGATTTAGGTGGGCATTCAGGCACCTGGGAAACCTTCAGAGGCATTCTAGAGAGGCAGACACTGATGAAAAACACATTCCCAGCCCAACTTTACTCTGATATTAAACAGCCAGGAACACTTCCGGGCCTCGGGGATATTTCCCAGCCCACAGGGAGCCAGTATCTGGGGCAAGAGGGACACCCTCCACATCCAGCACAAATTGTTCCCACACTTCCAGGCAGCAGCGTTTGACTACTAAACTTTAAGAGGGAACGCAGTACACCTCAAGTAACTAGCTGAAATTTTAACAGTTTTTCACTCCACAGAGCCTTACAAAAGTTTCAGAAAAACAAATGCAATAAATTCCTGATTGTTAGACTTAGGGAAAGGGCGCTGAACCTAGCGAGAGCCAACCAGGACAGCTCTGTTTAATTCAAACACCGTGAAGGGCCGTCCTGTGGACCGCAGAGCGCCGCTGGAACCCATGCGGTCCCCAGGGAACCTGTAAGGATTCTTACATCCCAGCGCATCCCCCACATTATTGAAGAGCTAAAATGCCCTTTACCTTTGCAAGAAACACGCGAGGGACAGCAGGTCTGCGTAATGGCCAGAATCCCAATTCCATTGCAGGGAAAGGAAACCAAGAAGCCTTTTCAAGAGGCTGTTGGGTTGGAAAGAGCTAAGCCTGGACCCTCTTCCACGCTTACCAGAAGCCGCTCCCACTAGGCAAAGCTCCACTGGCCCTCTCGCTCCTTGTCCTGCGCGCACACACACAAGGGTACACACGTACCCACAAGGGTACACACGCACCCACCAGGACTCTGGCACGGACCAGCGTACACATGCCTGTACACACAGACGCGCGCTCACAAGCACGCACTCGTGGACGTGCAGACGGGGGTGCACAAACACACCGACATACGCGCACTGACAAGGGCACACGCATACACATGAGCACAGGCGGGTACACACCGGCACAGCGTCCACGGGCACCAGCGCACACCCGGCGCAGCCCACGTGCGTGCAGCCCTGAAGGCGCCCGTGCCTCGCGCCCCCGGCCCCGCACCCCAGCTCTGGGCCGCACTCACCTGGCGCCGGCGCCGGCGCGCCCGGGTTCCGCGCGCGAACCCTCCCGGTGGCCCGGGGGTCAGGGCGCGCAGCCGCATGGCCGCCCCTCCCGCCCGCGGGGAGCCCGGCCTGGCCAGGCGAGGACCCCTCCCCAGTGGCGGTCGGGGCAGAGGACGCCTCCCGAGTTCCCTGCGGACACAAGTCCCAGCAAATGGCCAACACGGGAGGAGCGAAGGGTTCTCCGTGGCCGCCGGCCCAGGTCCCAGCCGCGCGCCGCCGCCTCCACAGCCACTCCTGCCCGTCAGAAGTCAGACGCCAGGAACAAAAGGCAGGGGCGAGAGCACGGTCCCGCACGGCGTCCCTCCATCTGACACGAATTAGCCCTCCCTCCCCCGCCCGCCCCAACCGCAGCTCCCAGCGAGCGCGGAGGCACAGGCTGAGCCGCAGAACACTGGAAAAGTGGGTGAAGAAACGCCTTCCAGGCGGAGGGAGCAGGGTATTGCAGCCGCCATCTGACTGGAATTACGGACGCGCGGAGCTTGGTGCAGGGTTCAGCTTTACTAAGATTTCAAACCTCTCCTAGAACTCTGGCGAGGGGCTTAAAAGAATCAAAACCGGGCACGCTCTTCGACTTTCGGAATTTCTAAAATCTTAACTATTATCCAGTCAACTCTGCATCTGTAATGAGCAGTAATCTGCACTACCCTGGTAATCTACACTGGCAAACAGGGCATTTGGAGTGGAAAACAGGGAAACACCAAGGCAGAAAGGCTTTTTTTCTAATTTGCCTTTTCAACTAGGAAAAACTAGGAGCCTGGCCTTGCAAAGGACACGCCTAACCAGGTGAGAATTTCAAGCAAAGCTCAAAGCACAGGACCGCCCGGGGCCTTGCACACCTGGGGGCTGGGCTGCACTTCCCTGCCCCCCTCCCTATCTCCCAGCCCATCCCTCCCCCGCACCCCCCCTGCCGTCCTACTCCTGGCAAATCAGGAAAATTCACAGCACATCTCGAGTCCCGTCTTCCTTTATGGGTCTGCGATTGTAGAAGGAAATTAGAAACCCGAGGTTCAGGAGGTGAAGATGTCAGGGTGATGGAAGAAGATGGACAAGCCAGGATCCTGAAGGAAGGGTCACTTAGAAACGCCAGGAGGAGAGGTGGGCAAGATCCACAGGCAGATCCCTCCTTTCAATGCCTGTCGGACTTCACCAGCCTTCCCGGGGCAGTGGATCTTGGCTGTCTACAAGAAGCTTTGTGGCATGACTGAAAATGAAGCCACTGCCTGTGGTCTGTGGGGTGCAGGGGAAGAGATCCCTGCCTCAGAGTAAGATAGGGGACCTTCTAGCCTCAGGCCAGCTAACCCTGTACTCCTACTACTGGCCTTCACTCCAGGCCCAGCCTAGGGGTAGTGTCCCAGAGCTCAGCCTTTGTGGCTCCAACACTCTAACTTCAGATCTACAACTCCACGTGCAACTCCACATGCCTTGGATGTGGGGAGCAGTCTGGGTGGGCTAAGTTGTGGCCTTTATGGCTGACATATGTGCAAATTCCAGCCATCAATTCAACTGGCCGACGTTAACCTCTCAAGTTCTGGCACTAAATATCCATCTTTCCGTTTCTGCAATAGAAGAGCAAAGCTGCTCTTCAACTTTCAACTACAAAGGAAAAAACCTCCTCCTAGAACACACCATTCTGGGTTCCAATTCCTCACTAAATCATCACCTGGCACACAAGCAGGCATTCTCATTTCCCCCTGTCCTTCAAATGACATCATTACTCACCTTTTTCTATATTCATTCCTTCATTCATTTTCCTGTATTCATTCATCATTTTTTTCTATAGCGTATCCAAACTTTAGTTTTTTCAAATGTCTTTCCCTGAGAACACATCTGTATCATATTCATTCCAGATTCCTTCACATCTGACACAATATCAGGTACATAGAAGTGTCTACAAACAGCTAAGAACAGGACATGCTGCTGTCGTGGTTTACCCAGGGCAAACAGGCCCAGAGGTCAGCTGGATCTACCACCGCCCTTACCACGGTGCCCACGGGAACCGGCCGAAGAAATCTGAATTTAGCAATGAACAGATGGCCCCCAGCAGGATAAAACTCCTCCAACCTGAGTACCAGGATTCACACTCTCTGGGGTCCACCCAGGAACAACGGTCAGGAGCACAGGCCAGCCCACTGCCCATGCAAGCCGGAGTGGAAGGCAAATAGTTGAAGGTGGCTTTTTATTACAGGGATACCCTGAATCTGCTCTTACTTATTTAAAAGGGTAGCCATTCAGAAAACTCCCATACTTCATTACTAGTAACAAATAACATGCATGTGATAAACCTCCCGAGTGAGGACAACAAACTGATTTTTCACTGGCAAGAAACTGCTCAATCCTAAGGCCAATCCGAATTCTCCAGCAGGCCACCTCTCCAGCCCCTCTCCCTGCCCCGCTCTGACCTCCTCCTGCCAGGCTTGCAATCTAGGCTCTTACACTCCAGGGTCCTTCTGCTTTGCGCCCTTGGGCTCACCTGGGGCTTCTCCCATTCTCCTTTCTGGCTGAAAACCGCTGTCCTGGGCTCAGTTGAAGATCCGCCTCCCATCTGACCTCCCAGACTGGTTAATCATCCTCCATGGCTGAGCCACCCAAGGATGGTTGGGGCCCTGACCCTCTAGTGTGGTCATAAGTCTTGTGCCTCCAATAGGAAGTCCTAACCTTGTCTGGGATTTTCCACACACAGCACCAAACAGGAGCAATAAACACTGGTGCAGGAATGAAAACATTCTGCTTTGCTGTATTTCTACCGCATCAACACTGGTGTTCACTGCCTGTCTCAAACCACACCCTTCTGAGTCCTCCCAGAAGTAAGCTGTAGCTGAGGGTCTGGGGATGCAAAGGGACTCAGAAGCCAGGGCAGGTGGGGGCCAAGTCCTCCAGGCACAGACCCTCACCTCAAAACTTGAGTGGCAGACTGGCCTCACTCCATCTTAAGGCCACAGTGAGCTCTATGCTGCTACCCAGCTTCCGATTTTCTTCATGCTTTGCCACAGTCCTCTGTGCTTTTTACTGGCCGGGTTGTCTCACTCTAGCTTCTGACTGCACCTGGTTCCCAGGAACAAAACGAGGTTCTTCCCAGGAACAAAACAAGGTTCTTCCCTGGGAGGATGGATTCCAGACAGCTAAGGCAGACATCAGCAAACCAGGCATCAGGAAGAGAGGCTACATCTCAACCTGGATTGGAAACCCAGCTGGAACTGGGGACATGAGCCCTTCCATGAGTCAGACTTTAACACCAAGTACAAGGTTCCCTGGGAGAGAACTGAGGGGCCACTCATGCCCCTGTTTTGTCATTGGAAACTGGAGGCTGCTCCTATGCGTCCATTCCCACACACGATCCTGCATTCACCCACAGATATGTGAGCAGCGTGTGTACTTGATGTCAGAGGAAATACAGCGGCTGGCTCACCCCGCCCCTCCCAGAGGGACGATCTACACACAGCATTAAGAGGGGGCACGGAGTCCCCAGATCATGGGAAGAACTCGACGAGTGGGCTGTGACTTGAAGCAGAAGCAGGCACTTTCCAGACAGGAAAAGAGGTGAGGAGAGGCAAAGGTGGTAAGGCACCGTGTTTTTGGTGAACTGGCCAAAGGCTGGGTGGCTAATGCACAGCTGTGTTGGGACGCTGAGGGTAGACAGGGCTCAAGAAGCAAGGACAGGGTGGTGAGCAGAATTACACAAAGCAGTGACAAGGGAGGAGGCCCTGGTACTGAGCTGGGCTGGACTCCAAGGTCATAGGGGGCTCTAACCGGCAAAAAGGAAAAAGCATCACAGGTGTATGTTCATCCTGGAGGACTCCCTGGCAGCCCTGGGAGGACACTCAGGAGAAAGCAGGAGTGGCCATGGAAACTCTAGGTAAGAGAACCTCAGCCTTGGGCAACAGCCTTAGAAACACAGATAAATGTACAGGGGAGAGGATGGCCATAGCAGTGGAGAGGTGACAGAAGATTGGTTATGCACAGGAAGATTGAGCATAAGGATCTGTGAGAAGAAAAATGGGAGCCACCTTCCTTTCCATTGGGGAGGAGCTTGCTAGTCTAGAAAGGGGAGCGTTATAGTAAGCCCTGTGTTGGAAGACAAGAATCAGATATTGGTGTGACTCACAGTTTCCAATCTAGAGATGCAGATACATCTAGAAATCAAAGTAGATGTGAATGTGTATATACGCACCAGTGCACACACACACACACACACAGAGATACTCCCAGCTCTGTCCTTGGAGCGGGGGGAGCTGGCTTCCAGTCCCTGCGGTGAGGGGGCTTTTACCCAGGCTCTTACTGACCCAGCGACATCCTAGGGGACAAGGAGTCCACCTCCCAGAGTGGTGTTAATAATCAAAGATGTCATTGGAGTCACCCCCAATGAGCCTGAAATCTCTTCTTTTTGGCCAGAAAGTAAGAGAGCACTCACAGAACAATGGGTATGTAACAAAAAGACACAGGGGCCAGCCCACAGAGGCTCCCACCCACCAGGCAAACTATAAATGACTTGGACATCAAAATAGTGATAATACTGGATTACGACCCATTGAATACAATACGAATCCAAGAGTCTTTGTGTCCCTACTGATAGAAGTAAATGACCGCACAGCTGAAAGCCTATGTGGTCTCAAAGTACCTCCCCACTTGGTGGAGGAGGAGAAGGAGAATAGCAGGAGACAGTCTCAGAGAGGCAATGGGAGGCCTGGGAGCCAGTTATTAGGAAGGGTAAAGGTCTCAGCTTACACACGTCGTGAGATGGGAGACTCAGGAGTTTTGTGCGGTGGAGAGACAGAATCTAACAGGTTGTCACTGGTTGACCTTTAGAGAGAACACATAGTCTCTAAATACTTTCCTTTATTTACTATAAAAGGGAAAAGAGTAAGTCAACAACAGAGAAGGCTTCAATCTCCACCTAATCAAGGAGTCAAGATGACCATGACCTTGGATGGGACAAGCCACGATCGGCACCACCTGTGATTCAGAGATGAGAACACGCATTACCACTGGGTGTTTCTGCAGAGAGGCATCATCTAAACCAAATCCTCAGCACACCTTGGCCAGACAACCCAAGGGAGGGGTGGAGAGTCCAAATCCTTAGTCCCTCTGACGTGTGCTCACAGAGCCCCTGCCCTGGCCCTGATTCTCCATTCCTAGCCTGCACTTGGGGCCCCCAGACACTCTGAGCAGATGACTCCCAGCTCTCCTCTACCCACTACATGCCCGTCGACACGAAATCTGACGTGGCCGGTCCCGCTGCTCCATGGCTTGAGGGTATTTGAGTGTGAGGGAGTTCCTATGTGCCGCCTAAAGCACATCTAAAAGTACTTTGCGGCCAAGCGCGGTGGCTCATGCCTATAATCCCAACACTTTGGGAGGCCGGGGCGGGCAGATCACGAGGTCAGGAGTTCCAGATGAGTCTGGCCAACATAGTGAAACCCCGTCTCTATTAAAGATACAAAAAATTAACCAGGTATGGTGGTGGGCACCTGTAATCCCAGCTACTCGGGAGGCTGAGGCAGGAGAATCACGTGAACCCAGGAGGCAGAGGTTGCAGTGAGCCGAGATCGTGCCATTGCACTCCAACCCTGGGGAATAGTGCCAGACTGTGTCTCAAAAAAAAAAAAAAAAAAAAAAAAGCACTTTGCCTCTGATATTGAAAAAGACTGCCTTCAGTTTAAGGAATTTCTGATATCAGCAAGTTGTTGCCAGCTCTCATCTGCAGAAATTGAGCCTGGCCCTCCCTCCTCGTTCAAAGTCAGGAATGCTGGTCACTGGGGAGCAGGAGGCCCAGGCACTGTCTCCAGAGGCCAGTCTTGTACCTGGGCCCTGCCCAAGCACAGGCTTTGGGAAAATCCTCCCTCTCAAGACCTCCCTTCTGTCTCTTTCCCTGTGCAGCTAGCTTGTGCTCCATCCCACATCCAGAAGGGACAGTGTGCCTCCCAGGGCACTCACCCTCTGGGACACTCGGGAAGTGTTCAGACACATGTGCATCTCACCTTTCCAGCAAACATCTTCCTACCTGTTCCCCAGGGCCATGCTGGAGGGGGAAGACCGGCAGAGGACTTTCGGGTACATGAGGTCCCGGGGCTCAGGATATATGCATGGGGCACCTGAAAGACTGGAGAGCTGGGGAGCTGGCTTCCAGTCCCTGCGGTAAGGGGGCATTCACCCAGGCTCTTACTGACCCAGTGACATCCTAGGGGACAAGGAGTCCACCTCCCAGAGTGGTGTTAATAATCAAAGTTGCCATTTGTGAAGTGCCTGACCCTCAGGATGGTCCAAAGCCGGAGTTATCCAGTCAGGTGGAAGCAGGACTTAAAAGCAATATTGCTTTGTACTTTACACGACGCTGTTTCTCATGAAAATCACACACTCAGTAGATACGTGATGAATGAGAGTCCACTGGTCACAGAGGAGAGTGCATTTATTCCACCAGTTTAACCAAAATGTCTCCATTGGCTACAGAGTTTCTGGGCACACAGCCTCTCCCCACCCATGGGAGGCCCCTGGGGTATGCAGGCTCAGGCTCTCAATGAAGTGTCATTCTGCAACTGCCACACTTCGGGGCTTCTTCTGACAAACAGATGGTGACTTCTGACATCCTTCGCATGGTGTTTTTGCCCGCCCTGGAGAAACCAGCATTTGTCCTCCGTTTCCCTCTGCTCTGGGGAATAGTGGGAACAGTGGGAAGTCATGGAGTTCCTTCCCCTGACTTTGAGAAGTAAATAAAAAATGCTTTCCCTACAAAATTCGCCCTCCAGTGGGTGCTTCTTCCCTCTTCCCTGCTCAAAACAGTAGCTGTTTCATTACAGAATGTGCACAGGAGAATTAAAAAAAAAAGTGTTAAATTAAGGTGGCTCTCCCAAGCCCCCTCCAGCCAAGGCCCTGGTAGGATCTCGTCCCTTTCCCTCCCTTCAGAGGAGCAGGAAGAATCAGGGGCTGGTGCCAACAGGAGCATCTTCCTTCCTTCACCTATCCATGGATGGAGGATGGGGGTGCCCGGCCTGAGAGATAAATAACGGCCCACCTGTCTCCACCCCTAACAAGCACAGAGCACATCTTTCTCATGGTAAAATGAACCCCCACAGCTATGGGCTGTCTGTGTGCCTCCAAAATCCATATGTTGAAATCCTCACCCACGAGGTGATGATATTAGGAGGTGAGGCCTTTGGGAGGTGCTTAAGTCATGAGGGGAGACTCTGCATGAATGGGGGTCAGGCCTTTAAAAAAGGGACTCCACAAGACCCTTCACCCATTCTGCCATGGGAGGACACAGATGGAAGGTGCCTTTGATGAACCAGGAGCCAGCCCTCACCAGACAATCTGCCAGAGCCTTGACCTTGGACTTCCAGCCTCCAACTGTGATAGCTTCCAGAACTGCCTGAGGTCGCAGAGCTAAAGAACCACAAGCCCAAGTCCCCAGGTCCAGCTTACAGACCTACTGCTACCAATGGGTGTCCCAGAACCCAAGCACGGGAGAGCAGAGCATCCCCGCACTTCCGACAAGTCAGTTTCCTCCTGTCAAATGAGCTGCCCCACCTATTCTAACCGAAAATGAGAACACGGGAAACTGTCTAGTTAAGAGGTGCCCTGTGCTGAGGACATCACGATTTACTTTTCCACTCCTTGCCAAGCCAAGCATTTCTTCACCATCAAGTTGACTCCAAGTGGAAAAACCCTGCAGAGTTAGTTTGTACAAAAAGCCTGGAGATCCATAGTGTCAGGACGTACTCTGCCACTTTGAGCACCTCAAACACTAAAAACAGAAACAGGTATGTTCACTTCCTCCGGCGGGGGTGGGGCGTGGAGAAAAAGGACACAGTTGTTGGTGTTGTGCCTGGCCTTTTAAACTCTTCCGTGATCATACATCGAGATGCGTAAGAGGGCATTTTTTCTTTTTCTTTTTTTTTTTTTTTTTTGAAATGGAGTCTCACTCTGTCACCCGGAGTGCAGTGTGGTGCAATCCCAGCTCACTGCAACCTCCGCCTCCCAGGTTCAAGTGATTCTCCTGCCTCAGCCTCCTGAGTAGCTGGGACTACAGGTGTGCGCCACCATGCCCAGCTAATTTTTGTATTTTTAGTAGAAACAGGGTTTCACCATATTGGCCAGCCTGGCCTCTTCCAGAACACTGAGGAAGAACTAGATGGTAGCCCATGCCACTGGCCACGAAACGGGAGGGCTTTCTACACTCCCCTCCCATAGAAATCTCTGTTAAGGCGCCCAAGGCTCTAGGAAGTTTAACAACCTGCTCAGCTTCAAAACCTGCGCCAGACCCTTAAACAGGGTGCTGAGGGTAAGAGGACCCAACCTGGTTCTCCCCTCTCTTGGGGGACTGCCACGCAGAGGTTGGGGCAGTGGGAGGCGGGTCACCCACAGATAGCCATCTCAGTTACCAGTGTCCTTTCGGAAACCTCTCTAACTGAGCCCTGTCCTGTCACACCTCCTCAGTTTCTTCCTGACCGAAAATGCCCCAACATTCCCTGACTTAGATCAGAAAATGACTACTGGACCACATCTGGAACTGTGGGTAATGAAGCCCTAGGGGATCCCACCCGGGAGCAGCCTGGACAGTTCTCAGCCAACACTGCTCCTCAAATCCCCTGCAGGAGCTGGTTAAAAACATACCGACATCACACGAACTCCACCCCTACTACTTACATCACAGTCAGAGGACACCACAGTCTTGGGGGAACCCTAGGCAGTGATATTTCTTTACCATCTCCCCGGGGGTTCTGATCTATAGTTGGGTTAAGGAGCACAGACTCATGGGATTTGGGGACAGAGGCAGGTGCCCTGCTGTCCTGTAGCCTGGAGCCTCCCCCAAGAGGTCTGGACCGAGGTGGGCCAGAGAGCTGCGGCTGACCCTCACCCCACTCCTCTACTCACTGCCTGAGGTTTTATTATTAATTATTCTGGGCCACAGTTTCTTCGTGTGCTAAAGCGGATGATCAAATTGTAACCGACTTCAAAAGCTTCTTATGAGGATTATGCCAGACAGTGCACGGAGGGGGCTGGGGTACCACACCCACAATCATCCCTTCTCTTCCCTCTGCTATGAGGAGTTCCTGCAGCCCTTAATGCTTTGAGGGTAAGGAGGGAGATTCTTCCCAGACAGTGTAAAACTGATACATGATTTCTGAAGAAGTTGAGCTGTTTTTATTAATATTAACAAATTTTAGCTACTTACTACTGAAGTTTTTTTTAAAAGCAAAAGTTGTTTATGTTATTATTGCGACTACGAGTCGGTATTTTTATGCCCTGGGTGGAGTGAGGCAAGCAGGGCTGGAGAGTCAGAGCCTGCTCTGGAGAAGCTCAGCAGAAGGCAGGGTCTTGAGGGCCATCCCCCACTAGTACAGAGTCAACCTCAACACTCCATCTTCCCATACAGGTGGAAGATGTGCCCTCGTAAAAACTCCAGGCTGGCCCTGGTCCCACCACCATCAGCGCTCCAAGGGAGCTAATAATTAAATGCCTCTGATTTAAAGTTCAGTGGGAGGTGGCCCTGCCTTTCCACACACAGGGGACTCCCAGGTCCCCAACTGAGTGTGATGCTCTTGCCTTGAAGTAATCCCTACTTTACCCAAATTTAACCCCCAAGAAGTTTCCAGTACATGAAAAGCACGCTTGCAGTAGATAACACCGCAATGCTCCAATCCAGAAAAAAAGGAAAAACTAAAATTGCCATCCACACTCAAGAGAGCAGAAGTGAAGAGCAGAGGCCCTATCTGTCAGCCACGTGTCTGGCCAGGACCCGGCCTCCCGAGCCTTGATCTCATTTCACTGCCCAAGGGCTGAGGCTCAGACCTTAAGCATCTTACCTGAGCCACCTGTCTCACGTGGCATCCACATCGGGTACCCCCTGGCCTCGCACGCAGTCACCACACAGCAGCACTGCTGTTCCAGAGCTGGACTGAGAGCCCAGGACCTGCCATCACTGGAGGAGAGCTCCTTCCTTACGGTCTTCCTGCATCCCAGCCCTGTGCAAATCCACAGCATAAGAGACTGAGGAAAACCCCTCCCCAGGCGGCCCAGGATGTTGAGGTGGTGAGGCTAGGCGCCTGTGGGCGATTTCTACACATCCGTTTTCAGCTTCCTAAAAGATTCAATGTATTGTTCTTATAATTTTTTTAAATATCACTAAAGTATACTTATAGCATAGTACTTACAATCCTCTTATCCTCCTTATTTAAAAAAAAATTTTTTTAATGCTATTCAAGCAAAGAAAAAGGCAGTTCAAGTCCCACCTCACCACTGGAGCTTCTCATCCTGTGTCTGCAATGATAGCCATCACGGTCCACCCAGGCTAGCAGGGAACAGACACAGGCTTGCAGTATACCCCACTCATACTATAAACTACGCATGTGCCAAGACCGTGGGTCTCTCACTTTGT